CTCTCTCTTTGTATAGATGATACTCATTTTAACTGTTTCTGTTCATAGACGAACATCTCCCTCAATACAAAACTATAAACTGATTCTCTGTCTGTCCCTCTCCATTGCTCTCTCTCTCTCTCTCCTCGTTATTTTGAGTTTCAAAGGGAAAGTTGCAACTGTAAATGATTAGCCGCCCAGAAATCATTGAAACAAAAAGCTTTTTTTCTGAAATTGTTTTGATCGAGGTTTCCTTTCATCGGAATTAGAATCATATTAAATAGAAGAGTAAAGCATGGATGATGAAAGAGGAAAGTAGTTCTCGTCTGAAACTTTCAATTCCAGAGAAAATATGAAAATTAAGCCCTAAATGAGCGAATAAGCAATGATTTCCATTTCTCAATGAGATTCTGGAGAATATTAAAGAAAAAACATGGCAAAAGAAATAAAAATAGAATATTAGGAACAGATTTATATGCTGAAGAGAGAGAGAGAGAGATATGAAGAGTTAGAGAGAGAGAGAGAGAGAGAGAATATGTTGATGATGGAAAAACGAACAAAGGGGTAACGTTATGAGAAACTAAAATGACGTTGTCTTTTAAATATTAATGCTACCAACAATCTGTTCTGATTAAATGAAAGAAATGAAAACTATGAGACAAGCAGCAACTGAAGGCAAAGGTTGACTTGAAGAGAGAATATGCAGATGAAAAGAGAGAGAAAGTTCAGACATTTGCAGGCTTGGCGGAAAAAAAGCTGAAAATGGAGAGAGAATATGAGATTCTGGCGTTCAAACGAATCAAAAGGTAATTCTAATTACTTCTTTGTGTTTAAGAAAATAAGAGAATTGATGCATAAGGTGAAAAGATAATGATGAGGAAGAAGAGAAAGAGAGTGGTGGAGAGAGAGAGAGAGAGAGAGAGAGGGAGGGAAAGGGGAGGAGGAGATAGGAGTGCCCGCAAGAGGGAAGACTATCGGATAACATTTTGAAGGCAAACTTTGGGAGGGGGGGAATGTTCGCGGTCATCTGATTGCTTGATTGCTCTGTCTTGCTCTTTAGAAAGTCATATTCAACCAGATTGATGGTTAATTATGCTAATTATATGGATGTCAATCCATGTATGGTAAAAGAAGATGCAAAGATGAAGAAGACGAAAAGTCAAACAGAAATGAAAAAGAAAAAAAGTATGAAAGTAAGGGAGGGAGGAAGAGATGAGATGGATGAATCATGAAAACTCTTGGACGAGTTTCTAATTTCTTTGAAACGAAGCAAGAAAAAGGTTTTTTTGAATGCTGAATATAGTTAATGGAAAGCTTAAATTTAGTTTGTAATGATCAATTCATTGACGTAGTTTTTGAATTTGCGATGTAAAAGAAAGAGTTCTGTAGAGGTAAAGAGGTACAGAGAGAGAGAGAGAGAAAGAAGGTGGTGCTCGAGAACGATAGAGAGAGAGAGAGAAAGGCATCGAAGGAGATATAAGCTTACCACCTGCAATAAAAGACAAAAACATAAGGATAAAACATATTTTTTGAAACATTTCTCACTTAATCTCAAATCACATTTTTTCAGTTTTTTTCTGATCGAAAAATAAAATCTGAAAATTCATGAGGAGGAGAGTTAGTTAGCCGCTTAACTGAAAGTTCATTATTTCAGCTTTTCCTTTTGCTGCTGTTGTTCTTCACCTCATTTTACTCTCTTTTTCCTCCTCCTCCTCAGCTTATTCACTTTCCCATCCTCTTTTTCTCGTTTTCTTTTCTTTCTTTTACCTCTCAAGCTTCAAATTTCTCTTTCTTCTTCTCCTTCTTCTTCTTCTTCTTCTTACTTTCCTTAGTTTTCACAAATTCCTCGAAAGAAAGAGGAGATTAGAATAATTGTGAGAGAGACATGTCAAACGACAGTTGAAAATGGCAAGAGGATTTAAAGAAGTTGGAAAAAAAACTCGCAAAAGGAAATCAAGTAGCCAAAAGTAAAGCAGAAAGAGAAGAGAAAAACCTTTTTTGAACAAAAAAAAATGGAAAATGGAGTGCGTGTGTGACCAGAAAGACATACATATGTTCTTGACGATGACGTCACGGTCACTTCATTATGTTCATAATTTCAGACAATCATTTCATTTCAATTTTACGATATTTGACAAATGAATTAACAGAAAAGGTTATAAAACGTATGATTTTATAAGAAATAATGAAGACGTCAACTTCTGAATTGAGAAGAGACGATGAGATGGTTAGAGAGAGAGAGAGAGAGGGGTGAGGACTCTCAGCGACTGCAATGTCTTAACGCTCATATCATATGTCAAACATTATTAAAGAAAGCTGATGCTTAAAATTGGAAACTTAAAAGTTAAAATTTCATTTTTCTAAAATTATTTACAGCAAATACAATATACATGTTAACCATTATACGTATGGTTAATGGTTGTTGAGCAGCATCGCAATGCCATTTTCACTTCCAATAGTTGGTTCGAAGCGACATTATCAAGCCAAATCACTTCCAGAAATATCAGAAGGAACTTTGTTCCTCCTTCATCATCCGATTAACTGCTCTTTGCGAATGAAACAAAGGAGAATGTGTCATGGAGTGCAAGGCAGGCAAGCAAGCATGCAGTCAGTCAGGCAGGCCATCACAACTCATACAAGTATTTCCTCGTCGTTGAATGAATTCTCAAAAAGTCAGTCAAGTGGTGAAAAGAGGTGATAGAAACAGCTGCCACCATAATAACAATATTATTTTTATTATTATCATTATTATCATAAATAATAATTATAATATTTTAAAAAATCAATATTGGACATGCCAATTCAACCGCTCAACGCCACCAACATCATTCGAAATGAGACGAACGGAATAATTGATTCAAATTTCACGTGGTTTTCACGTTAATTAGCATATTCAATGAAGCGTCTTAACTCAGATTTTCGGTTTAGTTTTTGATTCTTCCAGTTTTCCATTAAAAAAGCAAAAAAACATGAAAAGACGAATTTAATTAAATGAGAGGGAGAGAGAGAGAGAGAGTAAAGGGATAACGGGGGGAAGGAGAGGTGAAATGAAGAAATTGATAATCATAAAGAAGCTCTGACTATACTTGAAGAAATCATTTTGAGGTGGGGGAAATGGAGGGTGGGTGAGCAAGACGAGACAGAGGATAGTAGAGATGAAGAAGAAGAAGAAGAAGAAGAAGAAGAAGAAAACGAAAAAAAAAAGGTTCTCAAGAGAGAGAAAAAGAATTCCTTATAAGAAAAGAATGTGTGAATGACGTAAAAGTGTCAGATTCAGAGAAGGCAGCTGAAAGTTCAATAAGGAAAAACAAAAAAAAACGAAAATCAAAGATTTTGTTTGTGAAAAAAAAAAGAAAACAAAAACGAAACATGTGAGGAGGATGTATGTGCGTGTGTATGGGTGTGTGTGTAGAGAGAGAGCATAGAAGAACGTGAATGACTGAACACGAAGAGGCAAAAGAATATATTTTCTTGATTAAAATGTATAGTTGCTAGGCTATATCGTCGAATGAAATACAATTTTTGTATGTAAAATCAGAATTTTTTTTGTGTGCCACCAGCATTCCTATTATAGAAGTTGATATGGTTTTTGAGTTTCCACGTATATGAGAAGAGGAAAGGAGTGAGTGAGTGAGAGAGAAAGAGAGAGAGAGAGAGGGGGAGAGAGAGAGGACGTGTGATTTATAATTTTCAGTGTTAAGAATGAAAAACAAAGAAATAAAGCAAATTCAATACAACTTTTTAATATGTTTTTGCATAGTTAATCTATTGATTTTATAGAAAAACATGAAAAGTATAATAGTTAAACAGGTTTCGACGAATATCATGTTCAACACCATACATGGACATACACATGTACCCACATGCTCATACACATACACACACACACGCACACACATACACACAGGCAGCAGACTAGATGCGCTGTACATGGCAGAGGAGAGAAATCTTTTTTTCTTTTTCTGCAGAAAGAAAAATAAGAAAATTAAATAAAAAAATAGAAAAAACGGAACAAAGACATTGGCTGAAATGGCAAAAAAGGAATGGAAGACAGCCTGCTTTCGAGAGCCATCCATGAATTTTTCATATGTGAACAGACTTTTCTTTTAAAAGTTGAATCAGGAAAGGTCGGACTAAATAGATGGAAAAGCTGGAGAACGGAGAAAAAAAAGAGGATTGTGTCATTCAATATCACCAAGCAGCCCAGCCAACCAACCAACCAACCAACCAGACAGCCAGCCAGCCAGTCAGCCAGCCAGCGAGCAGCTTGCAAGCACGTCGACTTCTGACCGAATGGATTGAATCCGGAAAATTACGGAATAGAAAGAAAAGGATGAAATGGAAAGGAGAGGAAGAACAGATAGATGAAGAAGAAGCGGAAGAAGCAGAAGGAAGAAATGAAGAAGCTGCTGGCGCAGAAAATGAAAAGAAGATGAGTAACAAAATGAATCAAAAGGAGGGAATAAGATACAAAAAAAGCTGCGAAGGAGTAAAAAGCTGAAGTATAGAGGGAGTGGAAGAGAGAGATAAATAGATAATATGGTATGAAAGACTAGAGAGTCAGTGAGATAGTAATATGAGCGCCAAAACAAGAAGCAAAGGATATTTTCGTTAACCGAGAAGGAAGATTAGAGAGTATGAAGGTGAGTGAGCAAGTCGTCGTCGTCGTTGTCGTCGTCACCTCATCATCCTGATCTCGTCGTGGATGTTATCAGTCAGTCATTAGAGCAGAAGAAGAAGAAGAAGAAGAAGTAGAGAAAGGAGAAGCTGAAGACGAAGAGAGTAAGAGAGAGAGAGAGAGAGAAAGAGAGAGAGAAGAGTTAAGCTTTGAATGTTCGAGCTTCATATAATGCCAGAATGAATAATAGAATGTTAATGAATAATTTATTAATTAAGAGAATAGTTTATCTTTTAATTGATAAATATAAATTAGAAAAGCTTCATTCATATTCATATGTTTAACCCGTAACATCATTCGTGTTGTTCCGTTCGCCTTTCGTTTGGCTTTCTTCTCAAAACTATCACTTATGATTCTTTCGCAGATGTTTTGGCAATCGGTTTTTCAACTAAAACATTAAATATATTTTTTTATTTTTATAAATATAATGATGACTTACACATTTTCTTGAATTAACCGGATATTCAAGTGCCATTCGCTCATAGAAACGACGTAAAGCTTTATTTCCATGAAAAACTCCTCTGAAAACAAAAATTATAATTATAAGTAATTATATGATTAGTCTTATACTTATAAGCCAATTTCCTTCGTTCTTTAGTTGTTCGTATACCCGGATGCATACTAAAGACGTTCGGTGCTACTGGAAATAAATAACCGGCGCTACATAAATGTAAAGCCTTAATAAATATTTTTATTCTCTCAACTTCTTGTTAGAATATGTCAGATGAGCTGAAAAACTCACTAAGGCTACATGATTATCCAGTCCGTATGGTAACTCCTCATTATGCCAATGAGCTGATTTGTGGATGACAATCATTGGCTCCCAGTATGTTGTTCCTAACCTCTTGATATCCACTGTGTATGTCTGCAAATGATTTTATTATTGTATTTAAGAATGTATGTGCATCTAGATGCGGAATGATTGACTACAACCGCTTTGCGCATTTTTTAAAAGTGTAAATGGAATTCCGTCTAACTAGCTCTCAGGTCACGTAGTTCACGTATGCTAATGAGGCTGACATTTAACTAACTAGAAGGAATATGTTAGACTGTTTGAACTTACATCTGATAAACGCCATGGTTTAGATTCTTCGGTATATTCGTCTTCTTCAACATCATCATTTGATATGACGTCATCAAATTTATGGGTCTCATTGAGCCATTCCTTTAATTTGGCTATTTTATGTCCCTGTGGCCAGAAGAAGATGTGGAATTGATAGACAAGCTTCTTCGCAATAGCATTTCTAAGCTCATCCATCGTCACCGGTGCTCTGAAATTAAACGTCAGCGTTTTCTTCTTAATAGGGAGGAAAGACTAAGGGGCTGTTGAAAAATGAAGTCAAAAAATGGGACACACAGCAGAAGAAAGTCTTAAAGGGAACTCTCTCAAAGCTGGTATAGTATAGTCAAGTATGAGTGAGTGAATATGAAACTCACGAAATAGAATCATCATATTCAAATCTTCGTATGGCAATTCCCAGTTTCTCATCTTTAATATTCCATTTGTGAGCCAGGTATCTGAGAATAGCCTCCGCATTCGAAGAATACTCTTGTTCCATATCAGCAAAGAGAATGAATTCACCATCTTGAAACTGAAACACAATGACAACATCATATACGAAACTATATTTGTGAAAGTATGCCTTTCGAGCAACATTTCTCATTGTATTAACAGGATACATTAATGAAAACGTTTTGAATTCGAATGCTTCCAATGTTTTAATTTCGTCTTCACATGACTTCTTTGGTATTTGATCTGAGGGATTAAGCAGTTGATGAATAGGCAGCCAATTCAGATTTTCACCTAAGTATATGACTGGACATGTGGCATTGCGATTCCATGAGAACACTATATGAACATTCAGACTATCTTTCAAGTACTCATAACAATCTATCAGAATATGAATCTGTTAAGGATGGAAGCATAGATAAGGAAAACTAAATCTAATACCTTCTTTATAGTGTTTTCCACTGATGATTCCGTTTCATTCTTCGAATACATTACAGAGGCTGTATAGATAGCTAGTGATATCTGGCCATCCCATTTACGGCTCATTTTCAATAAGTTTTTGCCTACAAATGAATGTAGAAGAGAGAAAGGATACAAAACTGACCGAAATAATTGGAAGAGGTATGCAACACCATTGTGATTTTGTTGCTTCGCTTGGAAGTCTTGTAGATACTTGGAATGACACAGAAGTCGTCGTTGTTGTATCGAATGGATGTATAGCTTATCGCTGACTTTTCTTTTACCACTTCATCATCAATACGTTTGAACACTTTCTCTTCCTTCAATCCGTTCGACTGATCCAACGAAGTTGTTGTTGATGGTAAGATAGACGTCGTCGTTTCTTGTTGTTTAAATGCGTAGTCAGCTTCTTCATTATGATTATCATCTTCGTCGTCTTCTTCATCTGCTTTATCGATTGATCCTTCATCATCTGCTTCGAAATTTTCGAAACCATCATCATCATCCTCATCGTCATCATTGATAGCACCATCTTTAGAAGTTATGAATGAATGTGTATAAGCAGAAGATTGAATTAGTTTGAAAAACCTTCTATAATTAATTCTGAATCATCCAGAAACTGATCATCATTCGTCTCCTCATCATCATCGTCGTCAAAAATTGAAAAAGTTTCATTTTCATTAGATTGAAAGTGTTTTTTGTATTTTGTTAAATGAGGTTTGATTCCAATTGATTGATTACGAACAAATGATTTACTCTACAACTTGTACATGTGAATGTGATCTAAGTAGGGAAGATGGAAGACTTACTGTGTTGCCATATATGAGAATGGTTACAGTGATAGTAACAGTGATTATTAGAAACAGACGGTATATGTTATAAGGAGGAGAAGCCATCAAATACCATAAATAGTCTTGTCTGAGTTTTTGGTTGTTATCTAATCAACTATTGAATTGATTAATGCAAAGAAAACCTGTTACTATTTTAGTCTGTTTTGACGGAAGGGGATGATCAATACGACTTACAAGCTCTCGAATTAACACTTCCAAAATGATATTTTTTCATCAAAATTAGTTGTCATTTCCATTTTTATTTATTCACCTTTAGTGTCATTCCTTTCTGACTGTTTGAACACACCGACACAGCCACGACAAGCAAGACACTCCTGCTGTTCCTGCTACTGCTGCTGATGCTGCTGATGCATACAATCATAATGATGATTATTTATATTTGATTAGACATTTTTATTTAAATCTTGTACATAGTACATACAAAGAACATCAATCATTCCATATCTTAGTTGTTTCTTAGATTCTCAACCAACACTTCTCCATCATTGAATACAATCTCGGCTTTCATCTCTTTCGGATAGTAAATGACAGTTCCTGGAACAGCTCTTCAATCATACATACACTACCTACTATGTTACCATTCTTGGGTAGCTCTGCAAAGCTGCTCTTTGACGTACTACTGGTCTTCGATGTAGTACTGCCCTTTGATGTAGTACTACTCGCCCCCATCTTTCTCAAATTCTTTACTAATACTGACATTTCATTGTCTATCTGAAGATCATACAGGCTTATCTTATGAAGGTCATTTATCAGAAAACCTCAGATGGAGCTTCCTCAGTGGCGTTTTTCGGTTGAGCTGCCTCATCACCAAATGCATAACTGGCCAAATGATTGTTGTATCGAACTGCCATAGTGCGATATCTCATGCAGCACGTGTTTTCGCTGCATTGAACGTATCTTCAAAAAATCAAATATCATCAATCTTGCAAAATCATTTTTTTATACCCTGCAGGGCAATAACAAGCTGCTGCTCCCTGTGGGCATGGAACCATGATAGGTGGTGATCTCAGACATTCCGAAGAGCATTGAGGCATACAAGCTACATAAATTCAGAGTTGAATATGATATTTGCAAATTACTTGGTCGACATTTATGTTGATTCTCATTTCTATGGATGTTAGATATACAGACTGCGGTACAACGGGGCATACATTCAGCTCGGCACAGAGGTTCTTCCAAATCATCATCTTCGACACGGAAACCCGAGGAATGAATTTGTGACGAAGCTATCTCTTTCGGCTTCAAAATATATTGGACATTATACTTCATTAGCACTTACAATCAGTATTTGTTCATCATTAATGACCATGTCATTAGCGGTGAGAGAGTTCATGAAACTGGCGACTATCATTTGATAACGCTGAATGCATTTGGGTAATTAAAATGTAAACTGAATCGATTGTTACATGAAGACATCGTTCGAGACATTGCGGCTGACAAGCTTTTGGACAAACTTCAACATCAAACGGAGTTCCGACATTAGTCACTCCGTTATATGGTAATCGAGCTTGGGTCTCACTTATACTCATTGGATAATTGCGAATGGCGGAGTATGCTAAACAAGTACTTGTCAAACATAAACTTTATATGGGGAAGTAGAATATAGAAAATACTTTGAGGTGAACTCCGTCTGGAAAGTGGTGAACGATAAACTTGATTGGATTTGATAGCAGGAGCAGAAGAACAACAACGAAAGTAGCACCATCCAGCTGCTCCACATCCCATCACATTTTGAAAGTATTCAGAAGCTGTTGGTGAACGTACGAAATCGTTCTGTACATCTATCTGCAAGCATGTCAAACTCATTACCAATAACTGATTCTGAAGACAACTCACCTCGTTCGAAATATTTTTTGTCGCTGAATTAGTAATGTAAAATGAAAATATAATAAAAAATAACATTTTTGAGTTAAAAAAAGAGGGAAAGAATTATACAAAATCGTTTTGCACAACCACAATTTGTGAATGATTGACAGGATGAGGGTGAGAAGCTCACGAAATCATCTTTCCATTACTGTCGTTCGTCATTTGACAGCTCAACTTCTCACGATTTCTTCATTATAAAAATCTTCTCAAACATATTCACGTCTTCTCCGTATTTCTGAAACGAACAGATGAATTTCCATTTGCTCTAATTAAAGAGTCATTGATAGACAAAAAATTGTTTGAAGTAAACAGCCAACTTCCGTTTTCAATAAAAAACGCCAAAGAACTCCTTACCACCCCAACCTCTAATTCGATATCACAGACGAGTTTCTTTGTTTTCTTCACCCATGTTGTTTCATTTTCGATTTCTGGATTGAATTGAAACAACCTATTGTGTCTGCTGTATTCCATTCAAATGATTTTGGCAGGACGTTCACGTGCCACTTACGTAACTTCTACGTGGATATGCAAATTGATCAGGAAAAAAATTTGAAAATGCGATTAAGCGCTCACAGTCAACTACCAAGAAAGAGGGAAACACAGAGAGAGGGAGACTAAGAGAGAGAGAGAGAGAGTTTGGACAGAAATCATATAATTTCGTGTTTAATAAATATAATTTTTTCATTTCTACCCTCGAACGAAAGTCTGAAAAGCTGTAGGAAAAGCAACTAACAATAGAATGTTTTGGTCTTTCCCTTCCACACACACACACACACACACACCAACCACACCACCACACACATAGACCCATATAGATAGATAGAGATATATGAATATACATATATATCTCTATCTATATGATATCCATGTAAGTCAAGTAGAAGTTCTTTGTGTTTTTCATATTCTAATTGAAATTTACAAGAAGAAGATGCTCTGTTATGTGTCTTATGAAACAGTTGACAAGCGTTTGACATATAAGCTTCGTCCGTCTATGAGTTGTGCCTCTGCTCCTTCTTCCAGTACTTTCCCTTGAGATTGCAACCATTTGACTGAACTTCTTTTCATTCAGTTTTTTTTCCTCTTTTGTCTGTCAAAACTTCATTTTTCATTGGAACTCCCAATTGAAATCTTAATATTATTTAAAAAATGTCATTTATAAATGAATTTTCTCGTTCAATTATCCGACATTTGACCAGCACAAAATGTAATTTCAACCAGTTCTTCTTACTCCTATGAGTTTCCAGTTCTTCGAGACTGAACGTTCCTTGTAAGTCGTTTGAATAATCAATATGTCTGTCTGTTATTTATATATGTTTATAATGAAATATTAAATGTTATAACCTTCTTCTTCTAATTACATTCTCATGCCATGCCTACTACTGCCCCGAAGGCCATCTTCTATTTTGTAATTTCGACCTTTTTTTTTGTTTTATTTGAAAAATGGATGTTTGTTTTAAAATGAGAAGAAGTATATAGCTAACTCAACCGCTCTCTGTTCGTCTGCCAATAAGAATGAGACTTCATTTCACGTGAGATGATGACACGTGTACGTGACTCGCGTGAGCTTCTTCCATATGCTTATATTCATTTTTCGTTCAACATGTTCTCACTTAATTAAAATATTTATGTAAATTTTAAAATATTACTGAATAAGAAAAACGTCAGAAGAAAGTTAAAATGAAAGGACATGGACCGACGTTGATGAATAGATTTTAGGAGAGAAGATGCATTGTGGATGAAGCTGAATTGTAACATTACAACAATTTTTTTATTATTTCCCTCTAGTTCCTTCAACGTCATTCAGCATTTTTTTGTTCTCAAACATCTTGTGCCTCTTTTAAGTTGCCTTCTAAGCATTTCTCATCCTCTGTCAGTAAGGAGATGTGAGACGAAGACGAAGCAGCAGTAGAAGCACCACCATTGAACATGACCATGTTTTCGTCCCTACAACATACAAAATATGAGCACGATTTTTAAATTTTCCATTTTCATTATATATTTAATGAAATGAGGTTGTTCTAGTAAAACGTGGAACGCTAGTAAGATAGTCTATGATGTTGTCCAATCCGTCATCTGATACTCATTAATTTCCAATCCAATTGATGTCTTTGAGCCTTCATAAAAATTTTTCATAAACCATCTGTAGACATCAGAACGTGAGTGAACGAAGAAAGGACGCAAAGAAGTTTTCTTTGAAGATGCTCTCCCTCTTCTCTTCTTTCTGTTTTATTCCAATGCAAGTGACAACTTCTTCTTATTAACAATTTACTTATAAGCTGTCATAAACACTCATAGAGAGAGAGACTAAGGCTTGGCCAAGCTTTGTAAACTGCCGAACGTTAATGTAAATTGAAGATTTTTGAAATTCCT